TGAGACCATTCGTGTTTCGTTTGTAATCGTTTAAAAACTTAGGTTTTTGAGACCATTCGTGTCTCGTTTGTAATCGTTTGAAAACTTTTGGTTGATAGTGGAATTGAATTTTAATCCCGTAGATGTACCTTACGTTAAGAAAATCACATAAAAATTCTTGTGTTGCTGTTGATTTAATTTTTTCACATTAGTTTTTATTCCCATTGGTTGATTTACTTGTGGAAAATCATTGATTTTTCCTAACAACTGGTATCAGAGTTTACGATTTATTTGGATTTATTTATTTGTATAAATCAATGGAGGGGAATGTGGGTCGTATGTCTAACTTTAATTGCAGCAATTAGGTAACTTGGAAAACTAAAATGGAGGACCTATTATTTTGTAAAGATTTGTATGGGCCTATTGAGAGTGATAATGGCAAACCTAATGATATGAAAGATGATGAATGGAAGAGGCTTAATCGAAAAGCCGTTGGTGTTATTCGTCAATGGATTGATGACAGTGTGTTTCATCATGTTATTATTGAAATTTCGGCACATGATTTATGAAAAAAATTTGAAGGCCTTTATGATAGAAAATCAACCACAAATAAAGCTTTTCTGTTTCGTAAGTTGGTTAATTTAAAATATAAAGATGGCAGCCTCATTTCGGAACATTTGAATGAAATAAAGAGTATTGTTAACCAACTTGCTTCTATGAAAATTATTTTTGATGATGAGTTATAGGCTTTGATGCTACTTAGTTCTTTGCCCGAAAGTTGGGAGACTTTGATTGTGACGGTTAGTAATTCCGCGCCCGATAGAGTTGTCACAATGAGCCAAGTCACTAGTAGTTTGTTGAATGAAGAAATTAGAAGAAAATCAGCGAGTTCTTCTCATTCGAAAGCATTTGTTACGAGAAGCCGAAACAAAACAAGAGAGAGGAGTAAGACTCCTTATGGTCATGATCAAAACCGTGACAAATCAAGAAATGGTTCTTTTTCAAAGAAAGACGTTAAGTGTCATTATTGCCATGAGAAAGGGCACATGAAGCGGGAATGTCGAAAGCTCAAAAACAAGGAGAAAAGGCGTGACAAAAGTGTGGATAAGAAGCAAGAAGACACAACGACGGTTACTACCGATGATCTCATGATCGTTTGTGAAGATGATTACATCAATTTTGTGGGCCAAGAGAACAATTAGGTGATTGATTTCAGTGCTTCTTTTCATGTGACTAATCGAGTTGATTTCTTCACTACCTACACCAAAAGAGATTATGGTTCTGTTCGAATGGGTAATGAGGGTTTGTCCAAAATTATTAGCATGGATGATGTTTGCTTGGAAACAAATTTGGGCTGCATGTTGTTGCTTAAGATGTGAGGCATATTCCTGACATTCGCCTCAATTTGATCTCGACCGGGAAGCTAGATGATGAAGGCTTTAACAACAAATTTGGTGATGGAATATGAAAGCTCACAAAAGGTTCTTTGGTGGTGGCTAAGTGCAAGAAGACTCATACACTTTATTTAATACAAGGAAAAATTTATAAAGGTGTTGTCAATGCACTTGAAGATGATACTTCTACCGAATTGTGGCACAAGTGGCTTGGCTATATGAGTGAAAAGGAGTTACAAGTTTTGTTCAAGAAAGAGCTTCTACTCGGTTTTAAAGGTACACATTTTAAAACTTGTGTTCATTATTTGGTGGGTAAACAACATAGAATTTCTTTTCATAAAAATGTTGCTTCTAGAAAAGACAATATTTTAAAGTTGATTCATTCAAATGTTTGTGGTCCTTTAAAAGTTAGAACACAGAGTGGTACACTTTATTTTGTTACTTTCATTGATGATTATTCAAGGAAAGTTTGGGTTTTTATACTAAAAACTAAAGAACAAGTTCTAGATGTATTTAAGTATTTTCAAGCCATGGTTGAAAGAGAAATAGGGTAGAAATTGAAGTGCATCTGATTAGACAATGATGGTGAATACATTGGGTCATTTGATGAATATTATCACAGCCAAGGTATTCGGTATCAAAAGACAGTTAAGAAGACTCCTCAACAAAATGGTGTTGCCGAGAGGATGAACCGCACCATTGTGGAAAGAACAAAGTGTCTGCTTTCGTATGCTAAATTGCCAAGATCCTTTTGGGGTGAGGCAATGAGGACAGCAGTTGACGTGATCAATTTGTCTCCTTCTTACCCTTTGAATGGTGATGTTCCAGAAAGAGCTTAGACCGGCAAAAATGTGTCTTATGAGCACTTGAGAATGTTTGGTTGCCGAGCTTTTGTTTACATTCCAGGGGATGAGAGGTCCAAGCTTGATAGCAAGTCAAGACAATGTATTTTTTTTGGCTTTGGGCATGATGAATTCGGGTATAGATTGTGGGATCTGGTCGACAAGAAAGTCATTCGAAACCGTGATGTTTTGTTTCTTGAAGACCAAACAATTGAAAATTTTGGCAAAGGTGATCAACCGGAGCAAAAAACGAGTGATCTCATTGACATGGATCAATCTCCTTCATTTTCAGTTGATGATGAAAATGGAGTGTGCAGCCACCTATTGAAGATGTGGAGGATGATGCTAATTCTAATGAAATTGAGGAAGAGCATCCAACTCAAGAACCGCCATCACAACTTGAGTTGAGGAAATCTACAAGGGATCGTCAACCTTCAAGAAAATATCTTCCCAATGAATTTGTGTTGATTTTCGATCAAGCGGAGCCTGAGAGCTGCCAAAAAGCAATTGAGCATATAAAAAAAGATGATTGGAAAAAAATTATGGAAGAGGAGATGAATTTCTTACTTGAAAATCACACTTATAATTTAGTAAAGTTGCCTAAAGAGAGGAAAATTCTAAAAAATAAATGGGTCTTCAAATTGAAGAATGATGGTAAGAATCTGATGTACAAGGCACGTCTTGTTGTGAAAGGCTTTGGGCGAAAGAAAGGTATTGACTTTGATGAGATTTTTTCACCGGTTATGAAGATGTCTTCTATTCAGGTTGTGCTTGGCATGGACGCAAGTATGAACCTTGAAGTTGAACAAATTGATGTGAAGACCGCATTTCTTCATGGTGATCTTGAAAAAGAAATTTACATGGAGCAACCAGAGGATTTTGTGGAAAAAGGGAAAGAGAAATTTGTTTGCAGATTGAAGAAAAGTTTGTATGGCCTCAAGCAAGCGCCACGGCAATGGTACAAAAAATTTGATTCTTTCATGATGAATAATAATTTTTCTAAAACCACTTCGGACCATTGTGTTTGTGAAAAAAAATTTGGATGTCAAATTTATTATTCTTTTACTTTATGTTGATAACATGTTAATTTTGAGTCAAGATTTTACCATGATTAACAGGTTGAAATTGGAGTTGAGCAAGTCTTTTGCTATGAAAGATTTGGGACCGGCATAGCAAATACTTGGTATGAAAATTGTTTATGATCTCAAAAAGGGGTTGATTTGGTTGTCTCAAGAAAGCTACATTGAGAAAGTTCTTGAGAAATTCAACATGGATAAAGCAAAATCGGTTGGTTGTCTACTTGCAGATCACTTTAAGCTTAGTTCGAATCAATATCCTACAAGTGAGAAAGACAATAAAGAGATGTTGAAAATTCATTATACTTCAGCGGTTGGTTCTTTGATGTACGCCATGATTCGTATAAGGTCGGATATTGCTCACTCCGTTGGTGTGGTGAGTCATTTTCTCTCTAATTCGGGTAAAAAAATTAGGCAGCGATAAAATGGATTCTAAGATATCTTCGAGGGACTTCGAAGGTGTGTTTGTGTTTTGGGGATGGTAAGCCAATGCTTGATGGGTTCATGGATTCTGACATGGCCGGCGATGTTGATTCTAGGAAATCTACTTTAGGGTATTTGCTGACATTTGTAGGGGGAAGCTGTGGCATGACAATCTAAATTACAAAAATGTGTTGCTCTCTCAACTACCAAAACTGAATTTATTGCCATTACAGAAGCTTGCAAAGAAGAGTTATGATTGAAGAAATTTTTGCAGGAATTGAGTTTGAAGCAAGAAAGGTATGCACTTTATTGTGATAGTCAAAGTGCTATTCATTTGAGTAAAAATTTCACTTTTCATTCGAGATCAAAACACATTGATGTGAGATACCATTAGATTCATGATGTATTAGATTCGAAATTATTGCAACTCGAAAAGGTTCACACGGATAATAATCTTTTGGATATGTTGGCTAAGACTTTGTCGAGGGACAAATATTTGAAGTGTCGAACTTTGGCGAGTATGCTTGATGTCTTCACCTAAATTTATAGGGGGAGAATTGTTGGGTATACTTCCTTATTGGAGTATGAGACGCAATTGATTTATTAAAATATTCAGTTTTGTTTGGTGTTTGATTATAATATATTTTTAATATATTACACCTAACTTTTGGAGGTCGAATGGATATTTAAAATCTATTTGATGGTAACTAGGGTTTTGATATAAAACCTAAGAATTAATTATATTTTTTGGGAGATTGTTTTGGTTTTCCAAAACAGGTGCAACGACTGTGATAGAATAAGAAATCAATCAACTCGGTGTGCAACGCGGGGCGCAGGAAAAATTGGTGCTTTGCTTTTTTGAAGATTTGATTGTTCAAATCTGTGAGGTTGTCTTGTCTGTTTTTAGGGCATCTTCGGATGGTTTGGTGAAGCTAATTTGGACTATTATTTTGAGTCTTTTACAATTCTATTTCAAAAATTTTTGTTCATCTATTTGGTAAAATTTTTTTCTCTTATTTATTTGTGATTATTTGGAATTCACCTAAGGATGGTTTGTGAGACCATTCATGTCTCGTTTGTAATCGTTTGAAAACTTTTTGGTTAATAGTGAAATCGAATTTCGATCCCATGAACGTACTCATATTAAGAGAACTACATAAAAATTATTGTATTGCTGTTGATTTAATTTTTTCATATTAATTTTTATTCCCATTAATTGATTTACTTGTGAAAAATCATCGATTTTCCTAACATGAGAAAGGTATGCTGGAAATCAAACCGTGTCAGAAGTAGAACAGTTCCACTAGCTACAATTAGAACAGTAGAATCGATTTCAGGACAAACGCAAGAATGAACAAAATGTTTTTTACCCCCCTCTTTTGCTATTCTCTCAGCAAAATGTGGACTAACAAAAGTAGCTGAACAAAAAGCTCGGGATTATACAGACAGATGAGAAGAATTGAAATGATGAGTTTCAGTAACTACAATTAAGATTGGAGTCATGACCTGGCCTCTTAAGAAGCCGCAGCTACTTCTGTTTTTTCTTTCTCCTTCATTACTCTCTTCCAATTCTCTGCATCGTCAATTATTTCCCCAGTTTTTATGAGGTAACGAACACGCGTTCCATTCTCTAGTGTCTTATGACCCACCCGGCTTGCTACGTCCTGTTCTTTGGAGTATAGCATCACATTTGAGCTGTGAATCGGTGCTTCAACCTGAATTACAACATGAAAAACATTCATTTTTAAATTAACAATAACAAGAAGGGAAAAAAAAAATCAGCATAACAAATTATAATTTGGCAATAACAAAATTAACAGGTAAAGAGAACAACCTTGATTATCTGCCCAGGCTCACCCTCTTCCCTGCTCTTCATGTGCTTGGTCTTCAAGTTGATTTCTTTGACTACCACAGTGCTGTTGTGCTTAAAGATTTTGGTGATCTCTCCAATTCTACCCTTATCGTGTCCAGATATAATTTTTACAGTATCTCCAACCTTAACATGCATTTTGTGTACTATAGGGAGGCTGTTTGGCTTGCATTTTATCCGTTCCCATCGCTTAAGCTGCAAAAAGAAAGAATAGGATTAGCCAATTGATAGACGGAAAAATACATTCCCAAGTGGCTAGCCAATAACTAGATCCCATCATTCAAAGCAATAAATTCATATGAAGACACTACTCTAGTTGTTAGCTCATTGCTCGAGATCCTTTTGTGCAGCTCATGTTGGGTAGTGTGGATCCCGATAAGTACTGAATTCTAACCCCTTGACCCCGAATTTTGGAGTAAGGGTATTCTTGATATTTCACAGTTTTTCCTTGTTACCATAATACTATGATTTATAGCTGAAGTGCTACATTGTATTGTAACCTTTCAGATTCAGATCATAGTAAACACGCAACGACCATGGACATAGCCCTATTTTAGGGTTGCAAAAGATAAGCTCTTCCCATGATAGAATATGAGAAAAGGAAAAGGAGGCATGCAAAAAGGCTTCCTTTCTTTAATAGTTTCAGCCTATTTCCTTTACATTCCTATCAGTTCTTCAAGCAACCAGCCGAAGTGTAGCATATTTTGATTTGGGATCAAATGACTACAGCTTGCTTTTTATACTGATTGCAGTTTACGTTTTATTGCTTTTCCTGTTTTCTATCTTTCTATCCATACCTCAAACTTCGTTTAAAATAGATAAAATCAGTAACATGAATGCCAAAATACCAACCTTCATAACAATAGGACATGGCTTCTCCACTGATTTAGCCTACATGTAAATAATACCAAATATTGTAAGTCATCATTGAAATCATCTATTTAGTTTTGACGTATATAATTATTCTTTTTTTCTTTTTTGGGGGAAAGGAACGTCTAAAGTTAATCAAACTATAACTACAATATAAAAACAAAAATAAAATAAATAAAAAATTTCAACACATAAAGGATCAACACAATTCATCAGGTAAATGTGATGTGAGTTCACTAGACTAGGCATCAATTGCTAAATTCTAAAAGACTTCAGGAAAGTAAAAAAGAATCAATCCAAGTAATATGCTGCACTACATACTGTCAGATCAGAAACTTCTTCTAGGTTCTCACACTAAACTAATGAATAAGCATGGACTTATATTCATCAATCATCATTAACAGTTTAAAAGCTTTAAAATAAGCAATTCAAAAATGAAAAATCCTGAGGGCCCTTGTGTGGTGACCATGTGCACAAAACTAATGCAGTTTAAGCTTGAATATTCTACCATAATTGGGAATGAATTCAAATTTAACTTCCAGAAAAATATTTCTTGTACATGGATATATTGTTACTAATAATGCCCCCAAGTATTATGTGTTAAGAATTATTTGGCATCAGTTCAAGGAGAAAATCAAGGGCAGATGGATGGAAAAATAGCGACACATTGCTGGCACCATATTACAAATACTTGCTCTCCCTAAAATTTGCTATACAAGTTGATTTTCAAAAACTAAAAACGGAGAAAGGTCCATTCATTATGTTGTGGTTCCCTTTACATTGGAACAAGGCTTGAAAATGCAATTCTCTACAAACACATCAAGAAGCTTTTTCATTCCCATTTTCTTTCTAAGGATTTTTCCCAATTTATTTATTTATTTTCTTTTTTCATGTGTAGATTCTGGTTCTGTCACCTCTTCAAACTGAAGTTTAGCAGCCAATTTCAATTGTTTCTGTGGAATGCAGCTCTGGATGTGATACTCGTGTTGGAAAATTTGAGAAAGGGGTGATGATTTCTCTCCAATCGGTGTTGTATGTGTAGAAAGGTGGAGGAATCAATGAATCACCTATCGCTTCATTTGGGTGTTTTCAGAGATTTGTGGAGTTTATGATGTGAGAATTTTGGTGTGATGTGGTGATGCTGACCTTGCTAATTGATTGTAATGTTAGTTGTTCAAGGATGCCCTTTGAGTAAGATTTTGAAGTATAAATTAGTCAATCAGTGCAACACAATTGAAAATTAACAACAAAAAGTTCAAATGTGAAAGTGAAAATGAGGGCATCATAACACAACCTTCAATATACAAAAACAAAAAAACACCTTGGTTTTGAAGAATCTGTGCAGACCTATTCAAAATTATGAACAAGAGCTCAAATTAAGCACTGAAGCCAAAATTACTTCTGTTTTTCTTTTTTTTTTCTTTTTTTTTTTGATAAATAAACAAACTTTATTACAAAAGCATCAAGATGATGCAAAGAATACAAAACTTCAGACCCCTAAGGCTGAAGCCAAAATTACTTGAGGGTTAATAATTAATATATGACCAGGTAAAGAACAATTACTCCAAATTGTGAGAAACCCATCCGATATTATCAACAAAAAATCATAATATGAATGAAAATCACCAAAAAATTGGAATTAAATTAATGTGGGTAATTCAAGTTCCATGAGAATATGGGTTTAAAAGCTAAAAAGAAACAAAATTCGAGAGAGCAGAGCAAATACCAGGGAGGGGAAGAGGGAGGGGAACGAGAGGCGTTGACCCAAGAAGGAATTTGAGGAGAGAGAAAGAGAAGTAAAGGAGCTCTGAAGAGCAGCCATTGCGGCCATTGTTGCTGTGACTCTCGAAGATTGCTACTTCTGCAACGAAGAAGACTGGTGCTGTGGATGAAAAGGCAAAAAGATAAGCCTATCCAACTTGGCCGGGTTAAACCCGACCCAATTCTAAGGCCATGTTTGGCAACCAACTTTTTTGTAAGAAAAATCAAAAAGTGATTATAAATCGTCAAATCATTTTCTCTATTTAAAAAAAAAAAATCAAAATATCACTAAAATTGACAATTTTTAAACTAAATTCTCTCCCCCTTTTTTTTAATAAAAAATAAAAAATCCTGATTTTAAATTCATTGAGAAATATCATATAAATGAAAGACCAAAAAATTAATTACAAATTAGTGCAGATCAAAAGAAATTTATGTTCCTTGATTAATTTACAATTATTATTTTTATTTATATGATATTTCTCCAAAATATATTTACAGTTTTTTTTTTTAATCAAGAAAAACGATTTCTATGTTAGGTTTTGCTTAAAATGATAAATTCCATTATATCATTTTTGGCTAGCTATATGTAGGTAGATCACTTAATTTTATAACTTACTACTATTAAGTGGCATTTAAAATTTTATGCTATGTTTGAAATGATTTCTAAACTATGATTCTATTCCTACATTTTAACATGATGTTTGGATAGTATTTTCAAATCACATTTTCACAACATTTACAAAACTCTGAAGAAAATTCTGTGTGATGCGCAATTTTCAAAAAAAAAAAATTTCAAATTTGGTCTAACCGGTCGTCTCACCAGTCGTCCGGCCGGTTAACAAGAACAGTGCAATTTTTTTTTTTTGTAATTGACATATGTTAATTTTTATATATTTGAAAAAAATATTTTTCAAATTTTTACAATTTTTTTTATGTGTTTTAATAGAATTTTGAGTTGTATGTTTAGTTATGAGTTGTAAATTTTTGTATCAAATATTATATGTCACATCAAAAATTTCTCACTCAATTCAAAACTCTTTTCAAAACTCTTTCACCAAACAAATTTTTCACACTCAAATCATAATTCCAAAACTCACAAACTTAAAATACAACTCATACTCTCAAATCATAATTAGAAGGTTCTACCAAACACAATCTTAATTTTTATTTCTTCTTTGTGATTGAGCCTCTCAATTTGCATGGGAGGACTTCATATAATTTGATAGAATAATGATAAAAACAAAACTTTGCAAATTTGGTCCATAAGCTTCCTATTAATTTGTTAAGTCTTCATATAATTTGATAGAATAATGATAAAAACAAAACTTTGCAAATTTGGTCCATAAGCTTCCTATTAATTTGTTAAGTGAATTTTTCAGCAAATGTGTGCAGTTACCATGGAAAGAGAGAAGTAGACCTCAATTATATTTGAGGGCACTATTCCTTGTTTGGTTATCCTTACTTTTTAGATTTTTTTTTTTATCAAATTTTTTTATTTTTAGTAATTTTTTTAATATTTAAAAAAAATTAATTTTTAGATGCACCTAACCTAAATATACTTAAAAAGTATTCACCTTGCTTGTTTCCACTTTTCAAAAAACACTTTTCAGAAAATTCTACTTTCTTATTTTTCATGTTTTTTTGTTTTTACTGAATTTTTTTAATATTTTAAACAATTTTTTTACTTTTTAGACACACCTAACATAAATACACTTAAAAAGTAAAATAATTGTAAAAAAAATATTTTAAAATTCATTAAATACCAAAAATATAAAAAAAATACAAGAATTCAGTACATTTTTTGTATTTTTATGTATTTATTAGTTTTTTAAAATATTTTTTCACAAATTTTTTACTTTTTAGATACATCTAAGTAAGGTGCATCTAAAAAAATAAAAAAAATGTTTAAAATTTAAAAAATATTCACTAAAAATCAAAAAACACAAAAATCAAAAAAATCAATTTCCAAAAAACTTAATTCAGAAAACTCAAACCAAACACACTGATTATATTTATAAAAAAATGTTTAAAAAATTCATCAAATACAAAAAATACAAAAAAAAAAAAATGGGCACATTTTCATATCTAAGTGTATTTATTGAATTTTTAAAATATTTTTTTTCACAAATATTTTATTTTTTAAGTTCATATAAGTTAAGTACATCTAGAAAATTTAAAAAAAAAAATTACTTAAAATATTAAGAAACGAAAAACAAAAATATAAAATCCAGTCAACATAGTTGCACCTCAACTAATTTAAAATCCTAAAATTAATGATCGGACAAATATTTAGTGGCCCTTTAAGTTAACTCAATCTCAAAATCTTAGATCTTATACTTAACGCTTTTATCGCTAGGCCAACTCCTTGGTTGAGGCCACCATTACTATGGACTTCCATATAATTAATGAGATTCCGATGACAATGGCCAAAAAATTGAAAATAAGGAACACAAAAATAAAGGAAATAAAATTTGGAGGACACTTTTTTTTTTTTCTTTCTCTATTTTCAAAATTTGTTAACAATATACAAAAACGAGGATATGCAACAAGAAACAGAGAGAAAATGTAGAATGTTACATGGGAATTACAAGCAAAAGGGGACACTAAATTGAATCCTAACTTCCATTGAGCGGAACTCAGTATACCTAACACCAAGATCTGCTTTCTTTCTATTTCCTAACAAAACAACAAATATATTACAAAAGCAAACCAAAAAACAAGCAATGAAACAAATGAACAAACAAACAAACAAACTATCATTTAAACATCAAAAGTATCAGCTGTGCTGTTTTTTTTTTTTTTTTTGCAATTGACATATGTTAATTTTTATATATTCGAAAAAAATATTTTCCGAATTTTTACAATTTTTTTATTTTTTTTAATAAAATTTTGAGTTGTATATTTGGTTGAGTTGTAAATTTTTATATCAAATATTATATGTCACATCAAAAATTGCCCACTCAATTCAAAATTCTTTTCAAAACTTTTTCACCAAACAAAATTTTCACACTCAAATCATAATTTCAAAACTCACAAACTCAAAATACAACTCATACTCTCAAATCATAATTAGAAAGTTCTACCAAACGCAACTTTAATTTTTTTTTCTTCCTTGTGATTGAGCCTCTCAATTTGTATGGGAGGACTTCATATAATTTGATAGAATAATGATAAAAACAAAACTTTGCAAATTTGGTCCATAAGCTTCCTATTAATTTGTTAAGTGAATTTTTCAACAAATGTGTGCAGATACCATGGAAAGAGAGAAGTAGACCTCAACATTATATTTGAGGGCACTATTCCTTGTTTGGTTATCCTTACTTTTTAGATTTTTTTTTTTATTAAATTTTTTTATTTTTAGTAATTTTTTTAATATTTAAAAAAAATTTAATTTTTAGATGCACCTAGCCTAAATATACTTAAAAAGTGTTATATTTATAAAAAAATGTTTAAAAAATTCATCAAATACAAAAAAATACAAAAAAAAAAAAATGGGTACATTTTCATATCTAGTGTATTTATTGAATTTTTAAAATATTTTTTTTCATAAATATTTTACTTTTTAAGTTCATATAAGTTAGGTGCATCTAGAAAATTTTAAAAAAAATTACTTAAAATATTAAGAAACGAAAAACAAAAATATAAAATCCAGTCAACTTAGTTGCACCTCAACTAATTTAAAATCCTAAAATTAATGATCGGACAAATATTTAGTGGCCCTTTAAGTTAACTCAATCTCAAAATCTTAGATCTTATACTTAACGCTTTTATCGCTAGGCCAACTCCTTGGTTGAGGCCACCATTACTATGGACTTCCATATAATTAATGAGATTCCGATGACAATGGCCAAAAAATTGAAAATAAGGAACACAAAAATAAAGGAAATAAAATTTGGAGGACACTTTTTTTTTTTTTCTTTCTCTATTTTCAAAATTTGTTAACAATATACAAAAACGAGGATATGCAACAAGAAACAGAGAGAAAATGTAGAATGTTACATGGGAATTACAAGCAAAAGGGGACACTAAATTGAATCCTAACTTCCATTGAGCGGAACTCAGTATACCTAACACCAAGATCTGCTTTCTTTCTATTTCCTAACAAAACAACAAATATATTACAAAAGCAAACCAAAAAACAAGCAATGAAACAAATGAACAAACAAACAAACAAACTATCATTTAAACATCAAAAGTATCAGCTGTGCTGCTATCCACAGACTCCACACGCCGGTGTTCAGACATTGTACTTCGTTGATCCACGTCGATGTTAACCGCATCTGGCATGGTAGAGAACGAATGCTCATGATGCTTTTTATTGTGCCTCAATTTAGGGATGCGTGATAGCATTTGCACAATGTCCCTCATGGATGGTCGTTTTCTTGGTGCACGGTTAACACATTTGTAGGCTAAAGCTGCCATATCGTTGAGTTCTTGCACGTCGAATTTCCCATCAAGACGGGAATCCACCATTTCCTCCCACCCGACTTTCCCCTCCGTATTCATTGCTGCCTATCCATCATGATAAACACATTAAATTAGAAATTCTGAACCTTGAACTGGTTTTAGGCATGCAAAACAAGCTTACAGGCAATATTGCAATCAATTCGTATTCTCTTGGCATATTTACAAATTCAGTGTTATGTGCCAATTTTGATGTAGAACAAGTGGCTTGAGATTTATTGGAGCAATTTACCTGCCTAATATGTTTATACAAACAACATATTTTCTTAATTTCCGTCAGAGAGAGAGCGAGAGATCTTACAAGTTCAACATACTCCATCAGACCCTGTTGAGGATTTCTGGCTGCAACGAGTTCAAAGAGCAACACTCCAAAGCTGTAAACATCGCTTTTCTTAGTGAAGGCCCTCGTTGATATGTATTCCGGATCAAGATATCCAAAAGTTCCGCGTATATTGGATGCATGTTTGTCAACCATCTCTTCCCTAGAAAGCCCAAAATCAGCTACCTGCTTTAACGAAGTATAATATGCACCCAATTGTATAAGAGCCAAGTAATTATACATGACAACTAACTATAGCTTCATCTTCTTTTCTTTTCTTTTTCTTTTTTTTTAAAATAATATTCATATACTCTAAAAAGGCCAGGAAAAGAGGAGTGATTTTTTGTTAATTGTTTGTTTTCTTCCTAAAAGGCATAAGCAATTAACGGTCATGAGTTGACAGAAGAAGCATACCCTGGCTCTCATGGACTGATCCAACAGAATGTTGGAAGATTTAATATCCCGATGTATTACAGGAGGAACAGCCTAAAATTAACAAGAAAGAAGAAACAAAAAAAAACATAAGACATGAGCACAAATGCTTGCATCAAGAACTGCAAATAAGATTAAAAAATAAAATAAAAAATGCATGGACACACACGAGAACTGCATTAAAGATTATGGCTTACCCCATCATGAAGGTATTCCAATGCCCTTGCTACATCTACAGCTATTTGAATCCTCAAATCCCAACTCAATGGTTCAAGCTTTTCACCTGAACATCCAAATATTGGATATAAAAAAATATACAGAAAGAATATATGACTGAAAACTGAAAATGCACACAGATTCTATCTTCTCTCAGTGGGCAACAAAATTGCTGGTTTGATTTTAGTATATCACGTGGCTAAACATGCTATGTCCTTTCAGATCACATATATAACTCTATTGAGGATTAATTAATTCATTTCCAATGACTAGTCAGGCCTCGTTTGGGAACCCTCATTTTTAGCCAAAAAGTCAAAAAGTTACTAAATTAGCCAAAAAGCCAACAACCCATACCAAAAAGTCAAAGATTCTCTTTTCTCTCTACTTTTTGCACATATTTTCATAAAAAGCCAAAAAGTCATCCCAAACATACTAGTTTTTTTTAGCTCATATTTTAGCCAAATAGCCAAAAAGTTACTAAATTAGCCTGTTCCCAAACGAGGCCTCAGTCATTCAAGAAGCAAAGCTTTTGAACTGGATTTAAACTCAAACCAGAAAGTATGTCACAGATACACTGGGAAAATAAATGGACAACTGGGGAGAAAGAGCACAACAATGTTATAAAAACTCTTGAAAAAAAAAAATGGGTAAAGAAAGAAAATAGCATGAACACATCAAATAAACTAAGTTAAAGCACCAATGTTGCCGCTCCTAATATTTCAGGGGAAACCAGGTTGCTAAACCCTGGACCTCCAAAAACCAGTTTTGAAGAACCAATTTACATAGCATTTTCCAGCCCACTGTTTAAAAGACGCTGAGGAGCAATGGTCTTAACAGGTCTCAATTCCATATGGCCATTGAATCGTAACAACATACACCAGAAAAATCACACGTGCGCGCGCACACACACAAAAAAAAAAGACTCGCATTAATAAAAACAATCGCAGCCAAATAGGTCTTCAAATCTGGAACTGCCTCAATGGCCTTTATCAAAGCCCAAAATCAGCTACCTGCTTTAACCAAGTATAATATGCACCCGATTGTATAAGAGCCCAAGCAATTATACATGACAACTAACTATAGCTTCATCTTCTTTTCTTTTTCCATTTTTTTTTAATAACATTCATATACTCTAAAAAGGCCAGGAAAAAATGAATGAATCTGTGTCAAAGATTATGGCTTACCCCATCATGAAGGTATTCCAATGCCCTTGCTACATCTACAGCTATTTGAATCCTCAAATCCCAACTCAATGGTTCAAGCTTTTCACCTGAACATCCAAATATTGGATATAAAAAAATATACAGAAAGAATATATGACTGAAAACTGAAAATGCACACAGATTCTATCTTCTCTCAGTGGGCAACAAAATTGCTGGTTTGATTTTAGTACATCACGTGGCTAAACATGCTATGTCCTTTCAGATCACATATATAACTCTATTGAGGATTAATTAATTCATTTCCAATGACTAGTCAGTCATTCAAGAAGCAAAGTTTTTGAACTGGATTTAAACTCAAACCCGAAAGTATGTCACAGATACACTGGGAAAATAAATGGACAACTGGGGAGAAAGAGCACAACAATGTTATAAAAACTCTTGAAAAAAAAAAATGGGTAAAGAAAGAAAATAGCATGAACACATCAAATAAACTAAGTTAAAGCACCAATGTTGCCGCTCCTAATATTTCAGGGGAAACCAGGTTGCTAAACCCTGGACCTCCAAAAACCAGTTTTGAAGAACCAATTTACATAGCATTTTCCAGCCCACTGTTTAAAAGACGCTGAGGAGCAATGGTCTTAACAGGTCTCAATTCCATATGGCCATTGAATCGTAACAACATACACCAGAAAAATGACACGTGCGCACACACACACACAAAAAAAAAAGACTCGCATTAATAAAAACAATCGAGTGTCACATTAACAAAAATAATTTTCTTATTAAGCTTCTACATATAGAGTTCGTTGCCGCCTTACTATACAAATGAGAAGCCAGACTGCCTTTAGTCATGTAGACATAGATAAGCATATGCTGCCCCTTTTCTGCACAATACCCAACCAGGTTCACAAGGTTCCTGTGATGTAACCTTCCCAATAACATAACCTGACAACAAAAAATATATATATAAAACCTTAAGACTGGAAAAAAATTTTAAAAACTGCTTTTTACATGACGCTGGAAAAATGTTACACTTTAGTAGCAAGCACAGGAGCACACCAGAAATTTCTGTGGAGCCAGCACAAGTTTCTTAAGATAGGGCAAATTTTTCTCCAAACTGAATTGCAGAATTTAGGCTAGTTTTTGACAATTATTATTTTTCTAGGTTTTCTTATGTTGTCTGAGAAAACCAAGTTTTCAAAATTTTCAACTTAACTTCCTGGCCAAATGTGTATTTCAAACCAAAAACAGCTAACTTCCTACACCATTTTCAAAATATTGAAAAAGAAAGCCTAAGTTTTCTTAATACAATTGTCGTAATTAGATTGACTCTAACATCAATAAAAGTAAAAAAATATCTGACCAGTTGGCAAATATAAGCGCCGGTCATGGGTCTAACCCCACTATGTGGCATTGCCACATTGTTGCCACATCACCCTCCGGTGGCTTCCCCTGCAAGCCTTGCATGCGACTGTAATCTCCAGCTCACAGACACGTGGGCCAATCAGCAAGCTGAGTGTTGTCTCTATGCTAGGCATCACCAGACCTGCTGCAGCTCGGGTCCAGCCCGCTGGCCAAAAGCCCAACAAGCAAGGTCTCAATCTTGAGGAACCAAGACATTCCAACAGTGTTACTTGAGCTGGGAGCAGGGCCTAGGTACCCCACTCAGAGACGTGTGTGCAAATTATGACACGCTAACTAACTAGTAAACCATCAAATATGTTTAACTCCAACACAAGCGTGTCTGAGTATGTTGTATATCGTAAAAATTTTAAACATCATGTGCCTAAAATATTAATTCAATAACCACCACTAACCTCTGTTTGGAATTCTTTTGCTCCTTGCTTGGAATCAGTTGCAAGCACTTTAACAGCAACTGTCTCACCAGTTACCATCTGAGCTTTATAAACTGGACCAAATGCCCCTTGACCAATCAATGTGGTAAAATTAGAGGTTGCTTTTTGCAGATCCCTGATTTAGTAGCAACAGAAACAAGTTAAGAACTGACAAGGAAAAGAAGAATCTAACAAATTAACAGGACCACCAAAAAAAATAAAACTAAAGAATATATATATATATGTGTAGATGTATAAACTACTTTGTGCAGACAGATAGTTGTTTTTATTGCTCATTTTGGACGAAAATAAACATTTTGAGTGAAGATAAGCGCACCTTTTATTAATGATTTAACAATGAATGAAGGTTAAGAAGTAGAAAGAAACCGAGAAAACTTATCAAGCATCAAACCAAAGCATCCACTGCCCATCTCTAAAAAAAACTAAAGCATCTGTATTGCATACTTGCAATAAAGAATGTTGGTGTTAACCATCTCACACAACAATTTAAAAACAAGAAAGATAAATACAGTATACGGTATCCATAACATTTCATAACAATGTTTTAAGCATTATTGACATTCAAATCTGAGGCTGCATGTCCAATTTTTTCCCTAGATGCTTACGGACCAATTTTGTCATGCAAATCAACTAGTAGCAGAGATGATGATGGATTAAGGTGTCACCCCAAGCAAATTATCTAACCATCCTCCAGTATGAGGAGACTTATCTAGATATTTGACAAAGGTTGTACCCAAGAATCCAGTTTGCTTCTCCTAATTGAATTGCAAAATCAAGTTATCTCCATCATGCATGATTGCTACCACCACCCTTTATTTTTCCCTAGTATATATTTGACAAGCCTAGCTATTGGGGAAATAAGATAAACATCTAACTTCTGATATCAACGTTATATTTTCAATATTCCACATTTAATTTTATGAAAAAGGAACACATGCAACATATCTTCTTGTGACAAATGACAAATTGGCTTCTCAACAACCTTTCAATCTTCAGACTCTTCACATTTTCATCACAAAAACCCAATCCGCATTAGCAGAAACTTAAAATCAGGTATTAACGTATGCTAGTCTTAACAGTTTCTATGAACATACTTGTAAGTGTACTCGAGTATTCCTGATGCAGAAACCACATTAGTCTTTTTGAGTCCAACTCCAAGCCACAAAGGCATGCCATTCTGCTGAGATGTTTTGGGTGATTCCGTACCTACAGATGAGTCTGATAATGCTGTACAAGAATCGGCACCATTAGCACGAATGGGGATGGCTGCTGCCCTCCGAGAACTGCTATTCCCAATCTGCGAGCGTTTCCTATGGTACCTAAAACAGAAAAGTGCAAATATGGCCAAAAGCAGTCCAATTACCACCCCTATAGAGATGCCAATGATCAGTCCAGATGATTCTCCTTTCATCTCCTTGCGTGTGCCTGCCTTTGCAATTTGTTATTCAAGCATACAGTCCATTGACAAACCTGTAAAATGATCAAACAATCTTTAAACAAAACTGAACAAACCGGTGACATGTTTTCCATGTAATTATCAACAATCTATGACCTTTCTTTTCTTTAGTTTTTTTGGGATGATCTTAGGTCTTAGTCACCAAACAAGAAACAACATACAATCCAGCCCCAGAGCAACACTAAAAATCAACTGTTAAACTAACAGAAAACAAGATAAGTAACTTGGAAACAAAAAAAAAAACTCTACCAGAATACTAATCCCATCTATACACACCTGAACTTCATAGTTGAGAAGTAATGACGTTGAAAAATTCAAAAGTAGCCACAGCCATGAAAAAAGTCAACAAGGAAATAATAAAAGATTAAAGAAAATTCTAGATTCCAATAAATATACTCAAAGAACTCATTTGGTACGCAATTTCAACATCATACATAGTCACCAACTTCAGAAATAAAATTTAAAAAAAAAAAAAAAAATTACACCATGAGTTCCCATAATTGGTAAATGAAACTAAGCCTTTGTTTGGCTAACTTAGTTGGACTAAAAAAACACAAAAGACAGTTAAATAAGCCAATAAGACAGAATATTACATTCAAACCATAATCATTTCACTTTTTCTCTCACCCAAACCAAACGAATGTTTTAACCCCAAGCTAAAAAAGTCCAAAGTCAAAAAAGTCAACTAAAAAAGACAACGTCAAACGACGTCTAATGTTATGTTTGGATTTTGGATTTGTCAATGGAAGGAAAATAAAATTACTTATATACATTCATCCTTTTTATGGGTAACTAAACCAAAAAAAAAAAAAAATTAGAAATATATTTTCGTTGTCTTATTTTCCTCACTCAACCAAAAATAAAAAAAAAAAAAAAAAAAAAAAAAAATTTAGCTTCTTTCACTTTATTTTCTTTCCTTGTATTTTTCCCTTTGCAAATTCAAACAAACTCCAAACATAGCATAAAAGTTTTTGAAGCCCACACCACAATGAGCAATAACAAGACTTGGCTTAACAACAATAAACACAATGAAAGTGAAATAACAGTCTTTAATGCACCCAAATTATGCATCTACACACTTCAAAAGTTTGTGTGTGAAAACAGTAATAAAGTCGAAGATAAACCAAATTATGCTCTGTTTGGTTGCTAAGAAAATGTAACACGGACACAGGAAATCAAATATATATTTACCTCAATTAAGGGCGAGCTTTCAGTTTTCTAGCCAAACATACATAAAAGCATAATACTAACCAGTTCGAAATTCAGTTCGTTCCTACAATTTTCTCAGCATCCAAACAAGAGGCTCAAAAATTAAACGACGCAAATTTATATGTTCAGATCAAGTTTTAAAGCCAAAGCAGATCGAGATATAATCATTAAAAAAAATTTTAAAATAAAATAAAATGAATCTTCGAATCGAAAACACGTTTCGAAATCAGAGTCTGCACCGCATTGATAAAAATAAATTAAATTGGGAAAATTCATGGTACCTGTTGATGTGAGGACTGAGGAATAATCTTCCGAAACAATTACGAATGTTTTTTTTTTTTCAGAAGTGAAAAAAAAAAAAAACAAAAACAAAAACTGAAAAAGTGATGCGAGAAAACAGTTTTGAGGAAACAGAATTGCGGGAAGGAGACGCGAAGGATGATAGGAAGAGAAAGGAATCTGAGGAGCGAAAATTGACACGATCGACGAAAAAACAAAGTCGCCAAAGATGAATTGAAAATCAAAATTATAATAAATGTTTTTGTTTTGTTTTGTTTTTTTTTTTTTTATAATTATTGTTTTTGTTTGTAGTTTTTAAATACTGGTGAATCGCCGTTTTTGGACAATAAACCCCGCCTTTGGAGAGAGAGCTTTATATTCCCAAAATACCCTTTGTCTTTCTCCTTCAATTTTACCATAAGTAGTCCGTGATTTTTTATCAATTGTGAGTATTATAATTATGTGTGTATTTTAAATTGATATGTGATATATATATAAAGTATGTGAATTTGTATGGGTAAATTGTTTTATATCTAAATATAATTGAATCCAAATTCAATTGAAGAATTTAAATGATAAATGAAAATTTTTATAAATATAAATATTAATTTATAACTAGATTGTTGATATCACAATTTTATTTTAAAAAATAAATAATAAACAAGTCATTTAAATGTATAGTGTCATACAATCTTTTTCTATTAATTTTTTACTTTAATTTTTTATAATCCGTACATGTTATACAATTAAAGATATGAAATTAATTACACAATTATACAATTTTATTTAATAGTTCATTGCATAATACAAATTCATTGAACTCATTATTGCATATTATATATTATTGATGTAAAAATGCATTAATATCAATATGTAATATATTTTTATGGGTCTGGCTTTGGTCCAGTCCGCCATCGGACTGGACTGTGCTGTTGGGCCCGTGTGGGCCCACCACGGGTTCCGTTTTAAAAATCTGAACCGTTGAATGTGTAGAACTTGTCGAGTACTATATGGCTGTAAAAAATTACGTTGATCGGATATCGATAGCTATGTGATTAAATCAGTTTTGTATAAAAAAAAAATGGACGGTGAATGAATTAACGGTTAATAAAAAACTGTTTTGATCACATAGTTATCGGTATCCAATCAACATGATTTTTCACAGGCATATAGTACTCGATGAGTTCTACATATTAACGGTTCAGATTTTCAAAACGGGACCCATGGTGGGCCCCTACGAGCCCAACAGCACGGTCCAGTCTGATGGTGGACTGAACCAAAGCCAGGCCCTATTTTTATATATTAAGAGTTGTTGAGTCTCATTTCTTGGGCCATGAATATCTTGCATAATGAAAAATTTAAAATTAATCATTAGTATATTTTCATTTATGTAGAAATGTCGAATAGTTTTTTTATTTTTTCAAGAAAATGGAATGATATTATACCTTAATATTTCGATCGATATAGAAATTTCATAATTATTTTCACGATATTTATAAATCCATACTTATAAGAGTTTGCAAGATTACTTTTATAAAACTGTCAAGTTACATAATTTATTATGTCATCTGTTAGTAATCAACATATGAAAAAAATTTATCAAAACTTTTTATTTTTATATACTTATTTTCTACATCATTGAGTTACTAATGTTAGGGTATCATTTGATTTTTTTTCCTTTTAATTTGATTAAAATGTGTGCATTAGGTATATTATTTTTCTTGAATTTCACAACGGATAGGGCAATTCTTGTTTCAACTCGTCTAATTTTACTTTGAGAGCATGTTACAATATATATCTATAATTTTTATTTCACCTTCTTCTTATTTTTCTTTTTGCTCACCATTATAACTCATTGTAATAAAAATATTTTGATGAGTAAGAGTTTGAAAAGATATCATATTGTTATGAATTTCAAAATCTATTTCCCTCAATAATGTGATTTTTTCTGTGAAGGGGGGAAAAATACAATTATGGTCATGATGAAGGTGTTTTGTAAAGTCTTAATTTGTTATTGAAGGTGTTCGTTGTGAATACGTGTTTGTATGACATGTATATATATATTGAACATAAGTTGATAAGAGAACAATACAAAAGTTTGCAATTTTTTTCTTAGCAAATATAACTATATAATCAAAGCGATACATGTTAAAAATTTAAAGTATCAAATGATTATATAACAATACGGATTGGTAATGTATAAATACAGTAACATATATAAATTTACATTTATATGTTTTTTTTTATATATTTATATATGTAGACACTAACATATATAAGATATCACAAGCAAAACCTTTTGCGACAGTATAATATAAGTAATAATGAGAAATTAATTATTCATAATTAAATAGTTGGTCATAATATAAATATTTAGCATTACATTTTTGTATTTTTTGTGTATATGTACTATTTTTTAATTAGATTATTAAATTCACATAAAAATTGAAAGGAATTTGTGAATAATTTATATAAAATTAGAAATTAGTGAAGGAAAAAAAAATTTAAAAAAAGTTTACAGTGTTTGGTTTGATTTGTTTTTTCAAACTTTCATTTTGAATTTTTTGGTTTTAATATTTTTTGTTTTTAATACTTTTTTTTAATAACCCTTTTATTTCTTTTTAGATCACTTAATTTAATAATACTGTTTATTTTTTAATTTTACTTTTAGATTAATTAGATTCACTTATTCTAAATACATTTAAAAAATCATTTATTGTGTATTCTTTTTGAATTTTTTTTATTAATATTAAATAATAATAATAATAATAATAATAATAATAATAATAAGAAAAAATATAATAATAAAAAATCAGCACATGTTTGAATTTATAATTTTTTTTAACAATATTTTATTTTTTAATTATATTTAGATATTAATATAAAAATATAATTTGAATATAAAATATGAAGAAATTTCAATATTTTTAATTACTAAGACTAAGAAAATATGAAAAATGAACAACAAAAATATGAAAAATCAAAAATTGAAAAATAGTTTTAAAAAATGAAACCAACAAAAGTGATTCTTGTTTAAAATTTTGACATCATACATTGGTTATTAAAGTACAATATAAAATATTACAGTTCAGAAAATTTAATTTAAATAAAAAGAAAGCATATGAAGATAACTTGCGAATTTTTGAGATGCAACACAAATCTCTATTTTAAAAACGTATGCGTTATTTGAATGGACGCATGCAACTTTAAGATCCAACCAAAATTATTCACAGCGATTTGATCCATGATGGACAATTATAAATATTATGTATATCTAGAAGCAGACACATGAAATAAGAATGAGTAATTGTTTTTTATTCTTCAATCATCATCAATGTAAAAAATAAGGAGACCATTTTTTTTACAAGAAGGGAAACAGTTGGTTTATATTTATATAGGACTCTTATAAGGAAATTTATCATTTTTGAATATTCAACTCAAAACATAAAGAGATATTTGATTTATATAGGATTTTTTATAATTTTTAAAAAAGCATAATAGATTTGAGATGGTAAAATTGAGATTTTAAAAAAAGTAAAAAAACATGGTAAGCTATTCACACTTTTCAAATAGTAGTAGATTTATACTGGTGGTGTTCGCTGATCGGATTTGTGCGGTTTGCGGTTCAGTTTGACCCACCCGCACCTATGCTGTTTGGAAAAAAGTCAAACCGTAACTGCCCACAGTGCGGTTTGCGTTTTGTGCGTGTAAGGTTTACGGATGTGCGGGCGGTTTGCAGTTTTGATTTTTTCCTTTAAAAATTAATTTTTTAGTTTTTTTCCCCATTTTTAAATATTTATTTTGAGTCATTTTCTTCCAATTTTCTAAAATACTCCAACATTAATACTTAATGAATTAAAACTTATAAAATTAAAAACATAACAAAATCAATTCATAACACAAACAAATCATTTAAAATCATGTATATTTGTTTCAATCATCATCATCAACATGAAATTTTTTTCCAAATCTGTCTCATACATCCACACACTCATAGATATACAAACATACACCAATACCTACCTATCGCAATCCAAACCAAACTGTATCTGTTTTATTTATTTTTTTTCTCTATTCAAATCTTTCTTCTCTTTTATCTTTATCTGTTCAACACAAAAACAAAAACAAAAACAAAAACTTTATCTGTTTCATCAACAACAACAATACCATCAAAAAAAATATGACACACATCTTCAAATCCAAGGAACCCAAAAAAAAAAAAAAAAAAAATCAAATGTCAACAACAATAGATTTGTTCAAACATAGACCACCATCACAAACACCACACAGATTTATCCGTTTCAAACCCAAAGAACCAAAAAATAAAAAAATATAAAAAATCAAGCTGCAAATAAACCAAAAGCAACGGAACATTTCACCACCATGTGAACATTTTCTTGACTCTCACCGGCGACACTGAGCATCGCATGAATCCTATTCTCATCGGCTCCATCCGATTGGCTCTACGTAGAGCATTCAACTTACGGATCTGTAGATCTAACAACGAGGATGGACGGTGACAGAGAGGCAGAGACAGAGACAGAGAGTCCTTACCTGAGAGTTGAAGAAGAGAGAGAGTCGATTACGAAGGTCGATCGGTGCTCTCAGTGCTGCGTAGATAAAAAACGAGAAAGAGTATGATAAAAAAGTGAGATGAGAAGAGAGCAGTGCTCTCAGATGTTTTGATTTGAAAGATTAGGGTTTCTCAATTGGTTTTGTTTGGGAAAAATATCTACATAATAGATGGAATAAATGAACGGTCCAAGTTTTTCCAAAAAAAGTGCGGGCGGTTGTGGCAGGTGCGGGTTTGTGGCGGGTGCGGGTCAAGCCCGCAACCCGCCCGCAAACCGAAAATTTGAAATATTCCAAACTGCATCCTACCCTATTGTATTTGTGAAACTGCCCAAACGTGTGCGGGTAGGGTCAAGTAGGGTAGGTTGTGCGGGTCAGATAGCCCTATGCCCAGCCCTAATTTATACTGATGAGATTTGAAAGAAAAAATACTATAATTTCGATATGAGTTTCATTTTTTCAAATTGTTCATCAGCTTTTGAGTTTAGTAGATCTATTTTTATATCAATTTTAGTGATCTGAATCATTCTTTTTTCCGACTCGATGAGTAAAATATTCATGTAAAAAATAAGACGATCGGATATTGGTAGTTATATGTTTGAATCAAATTTGTATTACAAAAAATTGAGGGCTATTCTTAAAATTATATTGGTCTTTCATTTTTTTAAAAATAGATATGATACAAATATATCACTA